AAGCAATTAAGTCGGAAACTAACGTTCTCCCGAATCAGTATTGCAATAAATACACGCGAAATACGTCACCGATATCTTTATACCTTTGGATGTCCATTGACACCCGACTCGGACGTTACAATTAATTTCTTCACAATTGTACATACATTAGAGAGATTAAATTTCAATGAAGTCTGACGTGTGTGCAGACACACCTAGGTATTACGATTCTGTAGAATTGTTATTTTCAGCTAGATCGATCTTAGAAGGTCGGTGCATTCGCACTAGACGCTCGTCAAAAAGAAGTTGACACTAATAATAACAGTAAAATATATAAGTGTATGTACTTTTGCAACAAAAAAGGAGTAAATTTACTGACGCATGTAAATATATATGGGAACAGATGGTCCCAACATTACCCGCTGTAATAATTGTAATTTTACATGTAAGTTTTTTTACGGTGCGCGTTTAGACAAATTAAACATTTAGAATGTGAAATTACACGAGGCAAAAAGGAGGAGGAAATTTGCCTTTCGTATTTTTCCGTACTATCAGCAACGGCTGTAGCACTAATGCACGTAAATATAGGCAATGGCAGGCGAATTTTATCTGCTCTAGTTATGGCTCGTAGTACGTCCCACGCGACTTACTATGTGACTCCAACTGAACGTGACTGAAAGGGTTAACGTCTTCGATATCAATCACTTTTAAATAAATGTTCGTACACATTAAGCTGTTTTTCGGCAGCGAGTGTAAGAATCTTCGAATTAATCTCTCTGTCCGGGGGTGAACTTTATCCCTAAATAATATTTAGATTGTTTTGCCCAAAGACCATAGACATGCACTTAATAAACTCGAATGTAAATGTAATGCGGAGCGAACTTTGCTCAATTATTATCGATTGAATTTTAGAAAAGGGAAGAAGCCAACGCGCGGGGGCTATGAGCGACGTAAAAGATTCAATCATGGTAACGGCGGTATCTAGGTCGCATTCAAATGATTTATAAGGCTCGTGTGTGGCGTAATCGACTCATTTTCAGTTTCCGCGCGAAAACACAATACGCGAAACGCCGGAACGAGGCGGCATAGATCCGGTGCCGAGTTATTGACCCGTAATTCACACCGACATTCAACGTTAAAGGTCGCCTATCTGCTCCCAAGAGTCTCGCTGTTGCAACGCGTTCCGTCTCGTTGCCCAAATAAAGCGACAGGCATCCTAAAACTGTTCAGATGCGCCGCCCACCGCCGGAGCGATACAAGACACATTTAAAAACGCGATTCAATTATATTCCAATCGACAATCCGACTCGAAATATATCTATAGCGTTCCTCTTTATTTACAGCCATTCGCAGTTCTGATAATAATATCATATCACTTTCTAAAATTTGTCTTAATATAACGTACACTCTAAAAGTCAATCAGTGGATTAGCACTGAAAACAATGAACGTTCACTGATTCACAGTTTTAATGCACTGATTGACTTTCAGAGAGAATTTTCTCTTAAAATTTATCCCGTGATCGTGAGGCAACATGGCATTTAAAATTTCGAAAACTCTCATAAAGGTCTTCAAAATGCCACGTTGTTCCACGATTACACGATTTTCAGGGCAAATTTTAGGAGAAAATTCTCCCCGTGTAGATAACACAACGTACAGGGTGAATCAAGTTTCGAAATCTCTGTGCAATTCTATTCATTAAAATGTTCAATCCTGTTTGCAATTAATTTCGAGCAGTTTTATCGCAACAAGAAGCCTTAATGATCAAAAAACACGGTCGATCTTCAAATTTCAACAAACGACATTTAACAACTTCAAAGTTTGTTTGACCGTATCTGGCAGTTTTTATGTTCAAGGCTCGCTACGTTTCGACCATGGGTTGCGGTCCTCTTCAAGCGAACTAAAAATACACCCACAGAAAAAATTGCCAGGTCCAATGCTATTACACTTCAATGTATCATAAAATAGAATCGATCTATAGCGTCAATCATATTTATTATAGAGAAAGGAATATTTTAATCTTATGTGAAAAATTCTAAAATCTAAGATAAAATGATAGTATCGTCTTTTGCCGAATATCGCGGTGCCAACTTCGTGCGTTGTAAGATGGAGGGAAAATTTATTCTAAACGCAAAAATATACAAAGTTACTCTTGTCTCAATATAGTAAGTCAATCGTTTTTTAATTATACAGAGGAGAATAAGAATTTTTGACTTTATTTCGATATTGTCTCATTTTTATACTAAATGGGGCTGCGACAAATATAAATGCGTCAAGAATACTTTTGGTCTCGGTAACAGAAATCCTTTCCGAGGGTGTACGAAGCAGGAAATTTTGAGATTAACACATGAACAAAGTGCATAACTGAAGTCCGAGATAATTTCAAACGACATTTAATCGGGCTTGCGCTACGAATCAATAATTCCCCCTTATAGTAGTCGTCGCGACAGAAAAGTACTCTCTCGCGGGTACTCGTATTACGTTCCATTAGGATCATTTAACGTGCGCAGCGCGAGTCCTTTCACGCCTCGGGAGGTAGTTCCATCTAATTTAGGGATTTAACGACGTGTGGAAGACGGATGGGCGAACGGTGAGGTATCGAGTGTCCTCTAACTACCTGCCGCGAAGGAATGCTCGGGGGGTCCTCGCGGCCCAGCGCGCGATTTTCGCGCCGCGCGACTCCAGCCCGATATACCGTTTCACCTTACCGAGTTCCGCAACGGCACGCGAAATGAAAGAAATTAGTAGCGCCGGATTACGCTCATTCCTCTTCTCACGCGGCGGCGCGTTAATTTCATTGTCGCGGTGAACGCGAACACTTTGAGGTCAACACACTCGCGACGCAGCTGAAAACGTTATTCTCGTTTTCTGCCTACGCGCGATCGAACGAGATCGTTGCAATAACGCAAGTAAAATGAATGGAATTACACGGAGATCGTCGAAGTCGGGGCCCTTATTTGTATTCTGTGCGTGCAGAGGCGTCCGCAGGGAAGCCGCGAGAGTCAGCGGAAAATTAAACGCCTGCTCTCCCCTTGATAAAGAGATTTGTGTAAACTTCAGGCTTACAAGTATTATACATTCAAAAAATTATAATATTCACAAATATTATACATTCAAATTTATAATATTCCTAAATAATATGTAATACTCCAAATGTTGTATTTCAATACATTTTTTAACACCGTAAAGAATTATTTGACGCCAATGCATGATCAGTGTAGAAAAATTGCCAAACGACACTAACTGGCAAATTTCTTTAATTAGACTTCGATACGTGAATTAATGCGTTTCTTTAAACAAGCAGAGAGGAAAGTCTTCTATCACGAGATCGCAGGTTTTCAACGCCTAAATTCAATCACAAATCTATTTTCGCGACGATTGCAGGATCTAACAATGAATTGTCCGCTAAACAGAGATTTCCGAGGGGGGAAACCGCCGAGGGCGTCGTGGTGTACAGATTTGCGGCATTACTGGGCATTACTAGGCATTTATTTGGGCATTAGTTCGGGCATTGGGCCTTGCTGGGGCATTTTAAAGATAAAATAAGATAATAAGGTAAAGTAATGCCCACTGGGCATTGGTGTACGAGATTTTGGTCAGCGGTTTCCCCCTCGGAGATTTCGCACCAAGGGCCAATACGTTCATGGCGGAATCAACCGACGACGCCTGTTAATTTAACTCCACTATCCCATATTAGGATCCTGTCTCACAATAGGAGACTTTCCTCTATCCGCAGGTCTGATAACAATTTTTATAATCAATTAGAAATTAAAGAGGCCGTTTAGGACCGGGCATAGATGTAAGTAGCCTAAGTTAACTGGCTACTTACACCTATGCCCAGTCCCGGCCTCTTTAATTTCTAATTGATTTTATATCTTAAAGGACCTATGTTAAAATAATTTTTATAATGTACCACCTTCTAAAAATCTTGTACAACAATGCCCACTAATGCCCGGTAGGCATTACTTTATCTTGTAATGCCCCATTTTATCTTTCTTTTCGTCTTATTTTATCTTTATAATGCCCCAGCAAGGCTCAATGCCCAAACTACCGATACAGCACCAAAGCTTTCAGAAACATTTCAGAAAACATTGTTGCAATGTTACAATGCTTCTGAAATGTTTCTGAAAGCCTTGGTGCTGTACGGGTGATGCCGAAAAAATGCCCAGTAATGCCGCAAATCCGTGCACCACAATGCCCACGGTTTTTCCTCTCGCCGTTAGTCGAGCGCTCGGGTCCGATCTCCAATTTCTGCAACAAGTCTCGATCGTCAGGCACCGCGTAACCTCTGCGTTGTTAACTTCATTGTTAATTTCTAAATTCACAAGCTCTCTCTCTCTCCCCTCGCGTTACGCAAACGGGAGATTTCAGACGGTCGCGCCTTCGCCTTTCACCTCCCCGCGAGATGCGTTTCGTTTTTTCTTTGTGCGCGAAAAGAAGAAGAAGAAGAAGAAGAAGAAGCCAGAAGTGGCGCCTCTTCGAAGCGCATCTATTCCAGTACCCGGAGAGGCGGCGACGGTGCCGAGGGCAACCTGAGGCGAAGACGCCGCGCTCTCCCCCTCGTCCTTACCCGATCGCGGGATCAGTTCCTCGCGACTGTCCCACCGGCTCGGCAGGGAAGAAAATTAATTCGGGAGAAACTCCGTCCTCTTCTCCCCTACCCCCCCCCCTCCGGCCCCCTGGAAAATTTCCACCCACTTCTGCCGCCCACCTTCGCGGCTGCTCTTCAATTAACACGGACGGCAACCTCGAGCGCTGACGGACGCGGTACCGCTCGTGTGAAAGTGCCGCCCGTTCCCTCGGAGGCGAGCGAGCGAGCGAGCGGCGAGAAATGACGATGACGATGACAATAATAATAATAATAATAAGAGGAGCCGCGCGCGGCCCGACCGGGCGTATGCGGCCGGAAAAGGGTACGCGGCCGCGTAGCCGTGTTAGCAAACAAACTGGTGGTCGCGCACAGGTGGACGGCCGCTTTTCGCGAGCCATCTGGTCGAGTCGTGCCCCCCGCGGGGTCGCTTACCTCGGGAGTCGCGGCGTCGACCGCTCGTCTCGACCCTGGTCGGCGGACGCACCGGGTCTTGGCACCGTCAGGCCCTGCGAAGCGAGGCGAGCCGCGGGACGCGAACAGGAGCGACGAGGCTGACGGCGAACGTGCGCGTACGCGGCTGTCACCAAAACGCTCGGAACACTGTCATCGCTGGGATGGATCTGGCCACGCGCAATGTTACCAACGGACGCGGCCGCATTGTCACTAATCTGGTGGCCACGCGCCGCGCGCGCGGCGCTCGCCCGGGCCGCGCGCGCGGCGGCCATGTTGCCCGTCGGTCGCTCTCGCCGAGGCTCCGTGTCGAATGGCACGTTGTCGCGAGAGGAAATTGAAAAGCTGTAATGCCCGTGGCCCGTTCGAAATGAGACTCGACGAGATTTCTTTCCTTTTGTGAATTCTTAGAGTGCAAAAGGAATCTCTCTTGTACGCGAAAAAGAGCGCAGAGTTACGTGAAAACGAATTCTTTTCGAACTCTGGTCTTGGAACAAAAAAAATTGGGAGGAAAAGGAATTCATTTCGTAACTCGGGAATTCGAAAGAGAGTCTCTTTGGATTCTTCGTGCTGTCTGGCAACTCAAACAGCACGAGTGATCGTTTATGAAATTTCGAAAGGAATGGACTTTTTTAAATTCTACAGAAATTAGCGGAGTCTGTTCGAGATGAACTCAAAGGGATTCCTTCCCGTTTAGAAAGGATTCTCCTTAGTATACTTTTCGCCTTCTTGTGGGAGTGAAACGGCTCAGAATGGGCGATTTGACGAAAGCGAATTCTTTTAAACTTTTAAAAATATTTGTACAACAGAACTGTGTTAGTTCAATTCGTTCTTTGTCTCTTTCCAACTGTTACTTCAGAAAGAGACAAACGTGAGTGAAACTGAGATTAAAGTTAAGCGACGTTTGGTGGAACCAGACCTAAGGCTCATAGTCGATTCTTATTTCAAAATCATCTTAAGTGTTGTCTTAAGAGGCTAATACGGCTCTGCGATTGGTTAAAAACACACTAAAAGTATATTTAAGAATCAGACAATCTTAAATACGAGAACGGACTATGAATACCGGCCTAAGGGCCGTGGCACACAATCGGCCTTGGCAGCCACCGCCACAATTCTCTATGATCGGTCAATTCGTTCACCGCTTACGTCTTAGGCCCGGTCTACAATGAGTCGTTAGTCGTTAGTCAGAAGTCGCAACTATATGTTGATCCTTTTCCTTTCTGGGTGGAAGAAAAAGGACCGACATATAGTTCCGACTTCTGACTAACGACTAAACAACTCATTGTAGACCGGGCCTTATTAATTGCTTTAGTCCCAGTCTACAATAGAG